TTTTTTCTTTTGAACCGCCGCAATAAAGGAGGCACATTTGTTACTTCCTAACAGATGTTGATCATCTTTGTTTTTGTCTGTACATAAAACACATTGTTCTCTGTTGGTACACTTCTTAACACCATGTCCGGTTCTACCACATCTGTAGCACACTTTGCTACGATTACGACCTCTGCAATCCGTTGAAATATGTCCAAAGTCCAGACATCTATAATATCTTGTTATATGGAGTTTTTTCCTGATTCTACAGTTACCTATCCGATCATAATATGTCCTGCCATTATAAGCTTTTGAGCTATCTCTTCTGCTATCAACATTGTGGCTGATTGTATTTCTCCATATCCTCTGCGCATCTTACAGGGGGTGGGTATATGGTCTATTTCTACGTTCATATTTTTCTCACCGCCTCCAACACCTCCTCAGCAGTGACTGGTTCATCAATATCTCTAATTTCTATTAGGCGCTTTCTAGATCACTCACTTGAGATTGCTTCCCTACCGCTTTCTCCAAAGCCTAATTCAATGAGGTAATATTTCCAGTTTTTTCCAAGTACAATAAGTATCGCTATCTTTTTTGTCCTCCGTTTAGAGAATATATTTGTGCGATGATCACTAGGGTCACGGTCCCTTTCATCTTCTTAATAATGTCAGCATAAGTTTCCCCTTGTCTATCTGCCACATTGATAGCTGAGTTTACGTACCTGACTGTTGTCTTCGCTCCTGGCTTCTTTGGTATATTTTTCTCTTTTCTGCTTTGTTGAAGCTGCCAATTCTTCCCTATTTGGTCTTCTGTCTTTTCAGATTGTTTTATCATCTCACCCTGATTTGCTTGCTTTTCCCCTGGTGTAACCTCCACCGTAGTTATCTCCTTCTGTTTATCTTTCTTATATTTTCTATAAAGTTCTTCTGGTGGACTAGGTGGTGCCCTCTCTTTACTTTGTACGTCTTTCTTATCTTCTCTTACATTAGTTTCCTTCTCTCTACTCAGTAGAGAGTTCAGGATCCCTGAAAATTCTCTCTTTTCATCTACTACCTCTTGTACCCTATATTTCAGGGTATCAATATTTTCTATAGCTCTAGGCAGGGTTTCCTTCACACTCATCGGATTGTTTTTCAGCATATGCTTCTCTATCGCCCTAAGGCTTTGATTCAATTCATCTAGGAATCTAGGCTTTCCTTGGAGTTCTACCAGTTGTTGCATAGTTCCCAATTTTTCTATTATGTCAGCTGCTGTTTCCTTACTTCCTGCTACAAGATCGTCCGATTTCTTTCCTTCTATAGGTCCCCGCCGGCCCCATGGACCACTTTGCGGCGAATTTACCGCTGTTTGCGGAAAATTTGCCGCGCCATCTCGTTCCGCAGTTGTGCTTGGATTTCGCTCCCGCTGGTCGGTAGGTATCCCTGGAGTGGTTGGGGTACTTCGAGGCGATCTCAGCAGTTTCGACATCCCAGAAAAAAAGGGTTAAAACCTGCACGCTCTAGGCCTTCCCTTGTCACAGTGACACGCCAAGCGGTCCATGTCTGAAATTGCAGTCGCTGGTCGCTGCCCACCCCTGGCTGCCAGTACTGGGAGTCCGATCCCCTGCACCGTAACGGTTGATCCTAAGGGACATTCCATCTCGGGGTTTCTTTTCGGAGTCATCTTCCCCTAGCGTTTTTGAGCTTCCATCAGCTAAAAGGAAACGGAAGAGAAGGGGGAACAGTGAAGAATAGAATTAGAATAGTAGAGTAGAACGGAAGCGTCTCCCTAACTCTCGTAAAAGCGTCGGGGTCGGAAACACAAGGGTTGGCCGATACGAATATTGGCATACAGGACAGAAAACAGAAGTGTGCCGCAAGTTAGTGGGAGTGCCTGGATGTTTAGGGGAGTGACAGCAAACAGCTGCTCCAATTAGTCGCCTTCTACAACAGGGGGAGGTCCCGTGGTGCTATTCTACTAAAACCCCCGACACCACACGGGGAAAATATTATTTTTCCCTGTTGCCTTGAGCAAATGCTGAGATGGCCCCTGGTTTTGCTTCTGGACAGTAATGTAACTTCACTCTCTCCACCCAAGGCATCATATTAACTCATCATACATGATTGTAATTGTATATGTGACTCAATAACACATTGTTATTATTATTATGGTCATCAAAAATTTCTTTTACCTGATGTTATAACTGTACATTCTGAAAGTCAAGTTCCATTGTACAACACAGCTGACTTCATGAAACATGAAAGAAAGAAACTTTGATGATCATGAGTGCCATTTCTGAACAGGTAATTTTTCGTCCCATTCAATGGCAGCAGTTTTGCTGCAAAAGGCCGATAATATAACAATAATTTTCTATTGTATCTTGGAAACTCTTTTGTTTGTACTACGTCTCTTCACACTGTAATCAGTTTCTAAATTTAACAAGTTTCAAGGGCTAACATCATGAAACCAATTTTAGTGCTTTTTTCTGTTACTCCCTTTCTAAGGTGTTGTACTCAATACTGGCTCCTTAATCCAATTAAAAAAATAGTGTTTGAAATGTAAAGACATTGCATATTAGTAATTCAATGTTTTATTTATGATGAATCATCTTTGAAATTTGTGATTACAATTACTACTGTTCAAAAAATATAATTTGTATATCATGCAATATTTCATTCCATGCCATCATGTCGTTTAGTCGTGTCCTTTCGAAGTGCATGTAAATGACATCTTGACTGAAATATATCATTCTTCCATTCTTCTATTATGTACCTCTCACAATGTTAAATGTTTTTAACTTTGGATAATATGAAACCAGTGGTGCTACAGAATGGCACAAATTTAGTACTAGATTGTTTCCTATTCTTTTGTTTGGGCTAGCTTTTTAGTGTTTTACCCCACCTTTTCCCAGCTGCCATTTATTGGTGCCTAAAATACTTTTTCCCCCTCAATTTTTCAATCTACAAATTGTAAAAATGAATTTAATAATATTAATATCAGTTAGAGATTATATTATATACATAGTTCCGTATGCAAATTTTCATTGACAAAATTTGGTGCAGATTTTGAAAAAATATGGTTTTTAATTTCTGAAAATACATAATTTTGAACTAATTTCACAGAAAAATATTAAGTTTTGAAGGAACTTCATACAAAATCATTTGAAGGACACTTTTCACAAATGCAATAATGAATAAAAAATGCCATTATGTAAATATTAACATGAGATTTAAAAAAGAAAACACATTTATGCAATATTTGGAAAATTAAAAGAATACATTGAAATGGCATTTATATAATGTTATTTAGCACATTATGCTTTACTCATACAAAAAACTTAAAGAAAAAATTAGAAGCCATTTTTGAGAAAATTTAGTTTGTAAAACTTCCCATATTTCCTCAGAATTATGAAAAATTTACTATTTACAACAAAACAAATTATGTGACATTAGGTAAGAAGTAATTGTAGATAACAAATTTTATTTGAAGAAAATATCTGTTTAAATAATTTAGTTGTACTAGGGGGTTGCAAAAACTTCAAACTTTTGCAATTTTTTGAGAATTTGAGTTAACAGTAAAAATTGGTCCTCCATGGCATTGTGGATGTTTCCCTCCATTTCTCCAAGACTTTTAAATAAATTTGGAGCTATTTTGAAGAAAACTGAAAATGTCTCAGAGGCTTCACTTAAAGTACCCCCAAAATTTGACGAATTCTTTTCAAAATCACTGGGCTTTGATTCACATCACATCAACTGAGGAATATTTATTTTGGAAACAATCATATGAATAGTTTAGTTCACATATGAACTGACATTTTGAAGAACCAAACAAAAAGGAAAGAAAGAGGACCTTGGTACCTGAGGCACCAAAACCTTATTTCCATTGAAATCTATTTTCTGCCATGTTACAGAACTTTCTCTGTACCAAGTTTATTTGTATGTGTAGGAGAAATAAGGATTATAAAAACAGTAGAAAATGGAGGGAAAAATCAATTATTTGACAGGAAAACAATTTGAAAGGAAATATTCATAGTGAAGAAATGTGAAAATTTGCTAAATTAAGAACTCATCACTTCAGTTAAATTACATACTCAACTTGGTGGTGTCCAAAAGCATGGAAAGTCATTTGCAGGGGAAAGTAAAGGGAAGTGGTATATCTGTTACTCATAAAATCTGTAACTTTAATTCTGAATAGTTTCTAACTAACTCAAAATAAAAAATGGGTGTTTGCGGAAAATGCACTTCCTTAAGAAACATACCTTTAGTGTGCATTTCTTATTGATAAATCATCTTGCATCACCTCTACGTAACTTCTTACACTAATGAATTCATTTTTTTCTTTCTTTCTTTCTTCAAAGTCAATATTGCCATTTAATCTTCATTTGCAAAAAATAATTATTTTCACATTCAAGTACATATTTGTTTACATAATTGTTCCACAAAAACTTTTGTAACCATTGTAAGACTGTTTCCCAATTTTGCCCAAATACTTTGGAGTAACTGAGAAAAAACAGGGGGAGGGATGCAATTTAAAATGAGACCTCAAGATATGTTATTTTAATACAAAATTGAGTGAAATGCTATTTACTAGGCATTGTTGCTGAGCGACACACGTCATGGCAGAAAGACAAATTGGGAGCATGTTGAGAGGAAAAGGTAGTCAGAACAGGGAGGGGGTTGAGCAGCAAGGCAGGCATGTCTGCTTAGGTCTGTGTCACAAGTGTTGCATTGATGCTTGTCATAGATTAACCTTCCGAAGAATGGCCAAGAGTGTAGTTTCAAATTCGATAGTGATAATCTACGATGTGAGTTACTTAACGTGTGTTGATACAATGCTCATGTGACACAGACCTTACTGTTAGATGATTGTTATAAATATGTACCTAGTTGAGTTCCGAAACTAAAAACATTAAATATTTGATAAAGTTAATAACCTTTGTAGATTACAATACATAGTTCTAAAATGCCTTGAGTGTTTCCAGTTCTCTCAGATAAAGCTAAACTTTCTTAGATTTAAATAAATTTATCTTGAAACAAGACATTTCTGGTATGTTGGGAAAGATGGTAAGAAGAAAAAACACTCCACAAAGCAATTGCTTTTGTTTATTAGCAAGTGAAATATTGTACAATAGCAAAACTAAATATGGAAACTTAAAGATGAATGTGGAAATATTTTTAAGAAAGAATGCAGAAGTATGCAATCACACCTTCACCAGAGAACAGACAAGTAGATATAAAATATTACTTTAAGGTGAGATCACATAAGATTGAGAGGACAAGTGTCAGAATATTTTATTTAATAATTCAAGAAAAATTTAAAAGATGAAGCTGCAAGAACAGCTATAATTCAAGCAAACAAGTTGCTAATTGATGAGCACTGACAATCGTGTCATATCAAAGAAATTCTTTCCTCAGTACAATTATGCAAAACCATAAATGGTGAAATAACATCGGATCACCAAAAGAAAGAGAAAAAACTTACAACTATAAAAAGTATATTATCACATAAAATTATATTATGAATAATAACAATAATAATAATAATAATAATAATAATAATAATAATAGTAATATTATTATTATTAAGAAGTTGAGAATTTTACAGATTGTAACTTCTTTTAGTACATCAGTACATCATCATATGAATGCACTCTAGCATGTCACTCATTTGTTTAAATGAAAGTAGCTAATAACAAATGGTCACATTTCATTCAAAACACAAGTAGTTACGATAATATGGAATGATATTTCTCAAAATTTCGTTTTTGGAACATTGACGAAGCATTAGGTGTAAAAGGAATGCCTATAGAAAGAACTTTGCTAAAAGACCTATTAATTTTGGAATGAAAGAAATGCATGAAATTGTTCTGAGCAATGATTAAGGAACACTTGATCAATGGTCTATTTTACTTTTTTCTTTCAGAGCAGAGCAATTATAAAAGGAGGAAAGGAGCATCCACATTTGTAGGAAGCAAAATATACTTTCAATTATACTGAAGGTACTAAAAACTTATAACAAAAGAAAATCATTTCAATGATTTCTTATACATTTTCTAAAAAACTTTCATTAGTCTCCTTTTCTTCATTGTGGAATGAATACCTTTGAATAAAGTAACTTCCACATATGTTATAAACATTGTAACTTACAAAGTAAATTTCTGCAAGTGAAAAAATATCTAATTCAAAGAATTGCAGTTGCTGCAAACTAGTTAATATCTTGATTTATATTAATATACATATTTTTTATCCTATTTACAATTGTCTAATACACTTCTTGTACTTTTCAGAATGATAACAATGTTCACTTAATGAATACCATTAATATTGCTGTATTACATACTCTCTTAACAAAGACAAGAAAAGTATGGCAAGCATTTGGAATACATAGGCAGTTATTCTCTATGTAAATGTGCTGAACTAATCTTGTTCTTGTATGCAGGCCATCGACACACTGGGCAATGATGATTGTCCCTCTGAAGCCACAACATTATGCATGTCTGATGGTAACTATGGCCACATGGGAGTCCACAGAGTAGTGATCCCCATGCGTAAGATTCCAAACATACTGCACATTCAGAAGTTGGAAGCATACCAGATGGGACAGAACAACTTTCATCACTGCTATCTTCAGAAACACCTGTTGAGCAATCTCTCTCAAACCTATGTTCCACTTCTGAGTCGCATTTATACATTGGCAATGGGTCAGCACTTGTTAATATTTCACAATTACAGCAGTCTATGACTTCGGAAGGTATAGAACATGTAGGTTCACTAATTTTATTTCTACGTTGTCTGTCAGAACATCTACTAGTACTACTTGGTTTATTTACACAGTCTACTGAACTAGTGCCTCCAACACAGTTGTTAACTTTCAATAAACCTCTGTTTGGATGTTTATTATTACAAGTATTAGCATGCCTAATTTTAAGTTTTTCCTTCATGCAATTTTTACAAACATCATAATTAACTCTGTTTCCAGAAGAAGGATCTTCATAATCCATGAGCCTTTGTAGAATCTCAGGTGAGTCACAAGTAATTTCCTTTACATCCTTTTTATCATATGATTTTGACTTCTTAATATCCCAGCCTCTAAATTTCCATACAGGTAAATCTTTTATATACTCAGTAGGTATAACTGGATGCAACCAGAGATTTGGAACTGCTAGTCTTTCTATAAGCATTTCTATTCCTTCTTCCAGTTCTAATTCACTGGGTGGTAGTGGCCTTGAAAGGGTGGCCATAGGACGAAATAAACAATTGATCCAATACGAATCAACTGGCAAAACTTCCCACCATGGTTGATTTGGTTCACTAGGGGTCACAGGCTCATCAGGACAACGGGATCTAAGAAGCCAAGCAGAAAGTGCACCATAAAAAAAGAGGGATAATATTAAAATGGAAGGATGGCTCTGAAGTAATTGCCAATCTGAGCGCACTAATGAACCAATGTCAGAAAGACTAATGAATCTAACTAGAACCAAACATTTGTCAGTTGCAAAATTCACAATAGAAAATCTGCATATAGCAAGGATGATAAGCCAGATGACAAAAAGCCAGAAATTGTAGCTAATTAGAGTCCAAATGCAACGAGCAATGTGTTTCCATCTCCTGTGCACTGAAACCTGTAATTAAATGTGCAATGTCAGAAATTACATACATATTGTGACTGAATAGAAACTGAAGGTATATTTTCAGAAAGTAATAACATTACATGCATATATAAAAAAATTAATATGATTTGTGCCTATTAAAATAAGGTAATGATGAAAGAAACAATCTGCCAAATAGATCAGGAAAAGGCAATATCACATTATTTTCCAAAGCCAATATTTTCCAAAGCCAATTTTATTTTCATTAATAGGTAGCCTTCACAATAAGTTTTGTCCTTTGTAATAATGTCTTTGAATTATTTTCAGACACATTTCCAATTTTTTTTTATTTTTCAATTCAATAATAATAATAGTAATACTACTCATTATTCTTCAATCTTGTTAACAAGAACTTGTTTCCTTCATACATTTATTTTCACTGAAGCGTCTTCCACATTCAATTATCTTTCCAATTGTTATAAAGTAACTATCACTCTTATATACAACAATGTGATTTAGTTAACTTTAAGAGTCCATCTTTAAGGCTGTCTAAATACGTAACGTGAAATTTGAGAACATTTTGTGCCTCTGTTAAATTGATAGTTTGTCCTGATTATTGCAAACATTGGAGTGTGCATCTCTTCAGCTAGGTCATATTTTATTTTTAATTTCTTTAATTGCAATACGCATAAACACTAAAGTATTCTTAATATTAAGATTTGCAGTGCTGGATTATTTAATCAAAATTTTTGCAAATAATACTTAATGAATACTACAATACTTGATTTATTTTCATAACACACTTTGGTAATTTTGAAATTATTCTTATTTAAAAAGATTTAAGTTGTTTAGTTTCTATTAATTTCTTGAACAGACATCTCTTAAAAATAGACTCCATAAAATAAATTTTAATCCAGTATATTCAAATTATATTTTTTCTTACCTGGAATATTTGTAAAATAACCAAAAGATTCACAAAACTCAAGCTCAACAGAAATGTATCATTCATTTCAGGTTGAACAGCCCGAAGAAATCTATTCATAGAATCAAAATTAAAATGTTCAAATTTTCTTTTCCCATATATTATTTTACGTTCTGGAGTAATCACAATGTAACTAGGAACTTTAACATCCATTTGTTTTATTTTTTTCAAAGTCTCAGGATCATGTTTTTTAACAGAAAACATTCCAAATTTAATGCGACCAGTGAATTTAATACTCAAAGCAGCAAGAAACAAAGGTGGATGAAGTAGGTGTGTCAGTAATAAAACTTTCACTCCTCTTTTTGACCAAGATGGAGAGTTTTGAGTAATATTTTCATTTAACCATTGCTCTTCTAATTCTTGAAGATTCTCCACTGTTTTTACACGAATTGAAAGTTGGTCACGTACCCATTCAATAATTGACTGCAAAAAAAAATAAAAGATAGTTTTGCAAACAGATGTTTCATATAACAATTTCTATGAAATAATGTATTTGTTTTATTAGAGTAGAAACCTGGGGCCTTGTTGCTGAAAAGGTCTTTAAAATCACTTTGTCTTTAGCTCTTGTTCCTTTTGGCAGGGCTAAAAGCAACAGAGGATGATGCCAACCCTTACTACTGCATAATCTGAAACAAGAAAATTACCTAACTGCTAAAGTTGCCAGGACAAAAATATAAATGGTTCTTTTTTTCCAAGGAAATGAATAGTGCATTACTGTCTTAGAATTATATTAATTTTCCTACATATATAGACTTGAAAGTAGATTAAATATCTTTTGCCCATTACTTCATTACCTTCTGTCTAATTTGCAGTCAAATATTCCAGTGCGTATGGCCAATGGTGCTACATGATTGCAAACTACTCTCCAACTATAGTCATCCAATAAAGGTTCGTTATTCCCTGCAGGCACAACTTGGACAAGCCAAACACTATCTTTTGTGTCTTCCACCTCTTCATAAAAGTGGGCTCCTCCAGTGAAATATGATGGAGGAGGAGGAACTGGAAGGCGGTCTCTACCTGCAGTGTCACCTCCTTGACCATTCTGACTGTGACTCAATTCATCTACTTCTCCTTGTACTATGTGTGCTTTAAAATATATGTACATGTAAAACAAAGAGTAATAATTTTAGTAGAAAATTTGCAATAAATAAATGCATAATACATACCAGTTTCTTCAGCTAATTGGGCTAGTTCTTTCTTTTCAATATAACCTGTATAGCTTACACCTCTATTTTCTAAAAGCTGCTTTAACTGACGTACACTGAGAAGTAGGGGATCTACGATTTGGGTAGAAGGCATTCCTTGGTTATACCATAGTACTAAATCTATTATTCGGGACACAAAGAAAAGAAGCACCGCGTACACAAAAAATAATACCACTTGAATCCACAACGATCTCATTTTATATTTCCCTGAATTTGAACACACTATTAGAGTCGATAATTGTTTATCAATTTTCACTTCATGACGTTAGATAGGAAATATATACCCGATGACAGATCAGGGTTGCGCTCGTTGCGTTCTTCGAAGATAAATATTTAGTAGACACAAAGAAAATTCATGGCATTCCGATACACTTTATCGTAACTCACTAATAAGAAATTGTTTATATTTCTTTTTATGTAAATAACGCTAATCTACTGATAAACAATGTTTTTCCTGACTTCTATCTAGACGTAAATCCCCACTCCCAGTTATGTTTCTTTGTCACGTGCGGAGAGCGTGGTGGCGGTAGGTTTAAATGTCACTTTCAATTTTGCAGCCATGATTCATACTGACTTTCTGTGCTTGTTACTTAACTGATCATTTAAATGTAATTTGTCAAATAAATTATTAAATATATTTATATAAATAAATAATTTTGGTTATAACATTTATTCTCTAGGAACAAATACTTTGAAATTACAGAAATTTAATTGCAAGAATATCGAAGCTTAAGATCTGACATCGAAGGGTCTAGAAATACATTTTTAAAAAAATACCATTATTTTATGTTTTTAAACATGCAGAATAATAATTCTTAATCACAATTAATATAATTTTAATTTCCTCTACAAATATTAAGAACGTTGGTCAAATAGTGAAACTTAGATAGCGCGGGAGCTGTCGGATCACCACCATTGGCTGTTCGGGGTATGTAATCGTTTCCGCGGTACGTCATCCACCAATGGTATTACATTGTAACGCTATGGATTGTAGTGGACGAAATCATAACTACAACGTTGTGTTTGATGAAAGATGAATTTCGGGCGGCGTGTTTCGTCGAAAACATCCAATAGAACATCTAATGCCGAAGGATTGTCACTGTCAAAGAGCATTGACGTGTCAAAATGCGAAGCGATGCGAAGGATGACGCCCACTGTGTGGATTAGGGTTATGTACAGAGAGTCAATTTGTTGTATATGAATTACTCGCGTGAATGATATGGAAATGATGGATGAAGTGTTATTCTGAGGAGATTCGAAATAAGCCGAAAAGTCGTTGACTTCCACGTCCTATAAAACTCAAAAGGATGGAGGTTGAGACTGAAAATGTCCTGAAATTATTATTTCCCAATAGTGTACCAGGTAGGAAGTCACAAAGTCAGTTTATTCAAAACATGTACATTTATTTCCACTTTATAATTCTATGTTCTTATGTACAGAAAGTTGGAAGGAGAATCCAGATTTTGCTCTGTATCTTTCAAAGTTAGGTTCCTATGGAGTAGAGCAATTGTGTAAGTAAATAAATGAAAATGTTTTGTTTGAATTGCACTGATTGTTTATCAAGGATAATTTTTACATGTTTTTCATTAGCTAAGGAACCAGAACGACTTGCTGAGGAGAAGGCAGCAGTTTTGGAGCAAACCCAAGACCTGGTTTTTACAAATTATAAAACGTTTATTCACACAGCAGAATGTTCAAGGGAAATATTCAAAGAGGTAATTGCAATCAATAAAGTTAAAATTAATGATGTTATAATATAATTATTTATTTGTGCATTTCTTTTCGCTAAAAGTTATGCCCTCCAAATGAAAATAAGAATATATTTTCATGTTATTTGTAATGAAAATATTTTTCTGTTTATGTTTACTTACTAACTACTGGTGTTACTTACTAACTACTGATTTGTGAATGATAATTGAATGAATGGCAATTTTTTTGCATGCTAGATTATTCTTCCTCAATTTTCTTTGTAGAAATTTTGTTTTGAAGTGATTTTCATATTCAGTATTTGACTGAATGAAGTGTTTAATTTCGTAAATAATAATTTTTTGGATTTTTATTTTTTCAACCACCAAATTTTGGTATTGATCTCAACTTTGTTGGTATGATATAGTTGATCATGAGGATAGATTAAGATTATCTTTCATTGTTACAGTGCCAAAGTTATAGTCATTTATTTGACCTGCTTGAGGGCTATACAATGCAGGATAAGTATGGAAAAACAACAAATGAATAAACAATTATCTGTACAAATAGCTGGTTCATAAACACATAACTTGCGATTCATAATTTAGTTTATTGAAAGATTGAGTGACACAGGTCCACTCCATTGTGTTGTTACCAGCCATATAAGTATTGATGAGGTTACATTACTCATAGAAAGGCTTTGTTAATAATATCTAATATTGCCTATAAAAATTAGCTTTTGCAGCTGTGCAAAACGATCAGTAATACAAGTTTCTCAATCAGTTGGTCTTTAGTTATGCTTTATATGTTTATATGTGTGATAAGTGCCACAATTGGGTTTTAGACAATATTTTAGAATATATTCTTCATAATGTGATTAGAAAAAATAGTCTTAAAAATTTTTAAACATATCATTCATTGTTTTGAAATGTAAATACTTCTAGGTGATTAATAAGAAGTGAGGGTTTTATTAATGTTTATCATGTAATAATGTAGTTCAGCAATGTTGAGAAAAGACTTGGTTCCCTTGTGGAGCGACTGCCAGAGCTGACACGTCGATGCCAAGCATTCAGTCAAGCATCTAGTGAAATTGCAACTCACAGGCGCCTCAACTCCCTCACTTTAACACGGAATGCTCAGCTGTTAGAAATATTGGAGTTACCACAATTAATGGATACATGTGTGAGGAATGGCAATTATGAAGAGGCTTTGGAATTGGCTGCATATGTTCGTCGTTTAGGCAAGAAGCATGGAAATATTCCTATTATTGAGGTGAGTAATTTTTTATTATTTTCAAGTTCTGAAGTATTGCAAATCAATTAGCAGTGAAATTGCAAGCAAGTGGTGTTTCTACATACTTTTTAAATTGGGTCTGTAAAACATTGTTTTAGTCATTAGTAATATTTTAATGAATTAATAACTTGTTTGATAATTTTAATTGGGTGGGGGAGGAAAATTCTTGGTTAACATATGTAATTGGTGGGGAATTGGCCAAAAAAATTAATAAAAATTTGTGTTATTTGCGCTAGTGATATGAACTCAGATGCTTCCTTAAAAAAACCATCATTGAAATGTTAGTTTAGGGCAGATGTGGGATTTCAGATATCTCAGGGGGGTCAAGTTGACACTCTAAAGTAATTTGAATATAACATACATGTTTAGTTATAAGAATTGAGTACTTGTTTTTATTATTTCTTTTCCCCAACATGAGGGGATGGGGTGGAGCATCTGTATCCGTACGCAGAACCCCAGACCAATAAATTGTCGAAAATAAATATTTTTATTTAGAAAAATTGTTTTAGTAAATAAGTCAGTAGAAGAAAAATCAAGTGACAATGCGAATGTGGAACCGAATATTATATTGTCGTTAAATAACTGGGGAACTTTTGAAGTAGAAAACAAGTGTTAGGAAAATAAATAATTTTAAGAATCATCCGGAAGCATTTTGAAAAGAGGGCACAAAATTTAGAAGGAAAACTTAAAAGGCAGAAACATATTTACACAGAAGGACAATTGAATATGGGCAACTGGTGTAAGTAGCTTTTGAAATAATTTGGAATTTCGGTAAATCAGGTGAGCCAGAGGGCAATGAACTTTAAGGAACGCGGCGAAATAAAAGGCAAAATTTTCAGAATATCTGAAAAGTCCCAAATCAGAATAGAGGTAATGACAATATAAATGTTGCAAAAGATCTCGGTGGCAGAGGAAAGCGACCATTTTTGTTTTGAAAAAACAATTGAAAGACTAGACTGACTGGAGAAGACATAGAGGGATGATAGATGGCGAGCCGATTACATGGTGTGGCATGTGTTGGCAAGTTTTCATGTCTTTTGAGAGTGAATTTCAAGAGCATGTGCTGACAGTAGTAAAGAGTGGGGAGCCAGAAAATGGCATTTTAGTAGGTTGCGTGAAACACATTGGATGTGTGAAATGTTTGGAATGATGAGCCCAGATGAGGGAAGGAATGGATTGGCAAGCCAACAGAACACTATCGCGTAAAGGGAAGTGAACGTTCGGAATGTTTTACCCATGCATTTGGCACATATTTTAAAGGAAGGCCAAGTGTTTTATTATATTTTTGTAAAACTTGAAACAATGTAGATGGCCATTACAACTACGACGTGCACAGTGTGAATGTGAATAGCGTAAATAGTTTTGCAGTAAGTGTCAATGTTGAATTGATATTATGTTATTGTAAAAAGAAAAAAAATGGGGGGGGGGGAAAGAGGTTTTTATTTTTGTATGAACTGATTTCATCAGCAGCGTCACAGAAGAAAAAGGCAATGTCCCGGGTTGATGCCGCCGAATAAATAAGTGGTACCGCTGAATACGGTGCTGCATGTAAATTGATCAATAAGAACATAGGCTTCCGCGGCCGGAGTCAGTGTTTAATTGGCTGTTCGGGTGACGCTGCGTCCATGGCAAAGGTGCCAACGTTTCGGTGGGCATGAGGATGGGGTAATGCATTACGCCCTGAGGAAGGTCGCAGAATGGCGACTGAAACGTCGGCACCTTTGCCAAGGATGCAGCGTCACTTGGACAGCCAATTAAATAAATTGAACAATGTTTATTTCTCCTTTGGGCTGCAAACAAAGATGATTTCTCCGTACATTACCAATAGATAATGAGAAGTATCATTTTCTCGATCCTGTACAGGGAGAAACTTCAGTCACATGACTCAGTATAAATTTTTCGGTGGCAACACCACTCATTCCTGAAGTATAATTAGTTCAAAATTTGTAATAAACAGAGCTTGGATAGCAAGGTAATATGTAAATCAGGTAAAGAAATAATTGTAATAAAGACGGGTGCGACAAGGGGTCCCATCCCCCTCCCCCTAATGAATCCCACCCCTACTGGTTCAGGATAAAACTAATAATAGTTTTGTAAGGAAATACATTGATATTTAATATAATGGTTGATCTTCCTAACTAATACAGGTGCTGCAGGAACATGATCATGTAATTTTCATGATCATGTATTTTTAACATGATCATGTATTTTTAATGATCATGTATCACTTGGCAATGTATTACTGTTTTTTTGTTGGTTGATCTGAATGGTTATGCTGATTATATTATCTTTACCCTTGTTATGAAACAAGCATATTGATTAGCATCCATTTTATTAGAATCTGGAACTCTCAGAACATTTGTTTTATTTGTCTCTGTGTATCCTCTAATTTGTATATTGTGATGTTCTTTGAAAAAAAAGAATATTAATGTTATGTAATACAATCTTTAATCAGTCAAATATTATTATTATTATTATTATTATTATTATTATTATTATTATTATTATTATTATTATTATTGTTGTTGTTGTTGTTGTTGATGTTATTATTGTTATTATTATTTTTATTATTATTATCATTTATTTTATTTTTTAAATTTTTTAAAAATATTATACCACAATGGCATATAATGCAGATAATATTGGCAGCTGCTTGTTCCTTTCAGATTCAATTACCTATCCCATTCTTTATGTTGTAGAGTGTGGTTCGAGATGTGGAAACTGCTTGGGTGACAATGCTGCATCAGTTGTTGCAACAATTGCGATGTGATTTACCACTTCCTCGTTGTTTGCAAGTAGTGGGCTTCTTACGACGTATGCAATTGTTCTCTGAACCAGAACTGCGACTGAAATTTCTGCAGGCTCGAGGTGCTTGGCTGCAGGGCTTACTACAAGCCATTCCCTCTGCAGATCGTAAGTTCATTTTTTTAAATTTATAGTGGCAACAATGTTAATCGCAAAAATTTCTGTCGTCAACAATGTTAATCGCCCTAATCTCAGATTTGAATTTCATACGAGAGATTGCATATTGTAATGCCATACAATTCATACAATTCCTTCGGTAGTTTAATATTCGCTGGCGTAGGTTGTCCTTTTCCTTGCGTCACTTTTTTTTTGCTAGAAATGGAGTTGTTGCCATTTTCTCAAATTTTTTATCGAAACTCTCCATTTGTATTGTAAGATTTGTGTGTTTGGATTGAGAATGATTAATTTAACTTACCTTATCAATGTTTTTCAAGATACGTTCCTTATATCAATGTTAAAGGTGAGGGAGGCTTTGATACAAAATGCAAAATACATGTTATTTTTGGCATTTAGTATTAAAGCAAGAGGACACGTTAATTGCACAGTGATTGTTTTTGTGTAACTTTTTCCGTTAACTTTCCCCACATACTTACATTGCTCTTGTGTGTAGTGTTTGACCAAAAATGATAATAAGTTTTGCAGTTATGAGAATAAGATAAATTTTTTTCAATTTTTTGTAGTTAAGGTAAAGTTTCTTATAGTGAAGTTTAGGTTTATTAATTTTTCTTTATTGATCAATCTGAATGTATTGTGACTATTGTCTTTATCTCAACATGAATTGAACATATCAATATGCAACTTTTTTATTGGAATCTTGATCTTTGAAACTTTTTCAGTTTTTACTCTTATTTGCATTTTGTAAAGTTTTTTAAAATATACACATGTATAGCAAATAATGTTATGTAATATAGTGTAAATTAAATTTTTGGTATGGCATATAAATTGTATCTTAAATACCTGTTTTGTAATTCAATAATTCTTTCTTGCACTCCAGCCCATCATCATTTGAGCAAAACAATAGAGCTCTCTCGCATACATCTATTCAATATTGTGACACAGTATCGTGCTATCTTCAGTGATGATGAACCACTTTTGTCCACAAGCCGTGACAACAATATAAATGAGAGTGCAGTGTTTTACAGTTGGATTACTGAAAAGGTAAGGTGAAGATTACAATTGAAATTAATACTTCTTTTTTGCTTTCGTCACAAGAGCTCTCATTTGCGTTGGTCACATACTTCAGCAATCAGCATTCATATTTTGAGTCCTGGACATTTTTACTTGTCTCCAACCTGCTACGTACTATTTCTTAAATTAATACCATCATGAAGATAAAGTGGTCTGAACAGATCTTAGACCTTGTGGTTTTGAATAGTAATTATAAAATTGTTTAGTTTAGTTTCATTCAAGCTAATGGTAAATATCTAATTTTTATGACAAATTTGAAATATTTATAATGAAAATAAGTCAATATATAGAAATAAATCATGATATATATAATGAAAATAATGGAAATCATATAATGAAAATAAGTCAATATAAGAAAGAACATACAATTACATACAATTTAATGGTTTGATGTTCTGTGTAAGAGTATCTTATATAACCATAGCTGAAAGAAGGTTGATGATTCAAATCTTACTTCAGAACGGTGGATTTATAATTTTTCGTTTGTTATTTTGTTCTTGTCAATTCATGGAGATTCAAAAAGAGTATAATCATACTTTGTTGGCTTTACAGGTTGCCCATTTTCTGCATACTTTAGAGAAAGACCTAGAACGTAGTCAAGGCAGTTCCCTTGATTCTGTTGTGGGCCAGTGTATGTATTTTGGATTGTCCTTCAGTCGTGTGGGGGCTGATTTTCGGGGCTTACTTGCCCCTATCTTTGTGCGTGTCGTCTCACAGAATTTCCAAGCATCTGTGAAGAAAGCTACTAATAAATTTGAACAGGAAATGGAGAGTTTTGTTCTATCTAAATCCACTGCTGCAGCAGCAGCTGCAGCTGTTAGTAGTCGCAGTGTGACCAACATCACAGAACAAAAGCCGGTAAGTTTGTCTAAGTTTAGAGGCATGACAAGGTTCAGATATGAAAAATGTAGAGTTGATTCTCGATGTGGTGAACAGAAGTCATTGGTGTCAGCCCAATAAGCACCAATAGATCTGGTTATAGTAAATGTGCAACTTCAAGAGGAAAAATATGTATAAGTACCAGGAATGCATATAACATTAAGGGTTTTCTGGTAGAGTGTCTTCTGAATTGTTTGTGCAACATTGATGGTGAAATTAGAAAGAGATTGAGGGAACTGTGCCACTGAAGGAATTGCTTCAACTCATTAACAGTTCATTCCAGCCTGAAGATTGAATTGACAAGAGCTACAAATTAAACTAGAGGTGCTAAAACAGCACATACTTTATCCCTCATATTTCTCCCACGCAAAAAGTAATCAAATTTTTGAAAAATTGTACATGATCTTATTTAAAAAATATCTTAAAGGAACAGATTTGATTAAGTGAAAAAAGCTATATCTTTAATATTTTAGTTGCAGGAAGACTGAAAAAATTTAGAACTTTTGCAACTTTTGAAAAGTTAGTGTTTTAACAAACATGAGATCTGCACTATTATCTTAAACTTCCTTCACGCTATCCAACAACAAAATTTAATAAAAAACGATTGAGCCATTTTTCTGCAAATTTTGAAAATGCCCCAGGGACTGTAAGTAAAGTACCACCCAAAATTACAATATCGATTTAAAATTCAAGGGACTGCGACATCAGCCAGTTCGATTGAGGAATATCAATTTTGAAGAAAATCTGATGAAAGGTTTAATCGCTAGTATTGTTCACAGACAGACAGGCAGACAGATGTTTTCCTGTCATTCAATTTTTTGGTACCAAGGACTCACAAAACATGGATTCTGGTTATACCATGTGGTAGAGGATTCCCCCTAAATTTAGCAACTGGATTTATCCACATATTCTTTACCAGGGCCCTGTAATTGAATAAAAAAAAAAAAAAAAGAGAAGAGGGATGGTTTGATGAGAAGTGTAAACATATGATTGAGGAGAGGAACAAAATGTATAGAAGATTTATATAGAGAGACAAACAAGAAAGAGAAAAACAGACTACAATTAAGTGGGGGAAAGGCAGACAAAATTGTAGGAAAAAGAAAAGGGAATATGAAAATAAATAAATACTGAGAATGGAAGAGGATTTTGAGGAAAATAATGAAGGCAGGCATATTAATTTCTGAGGAATCTGACTACTTAGTGCAGAAATGAAAAAGAGCAAATAATAAGTAATGAACAGAATATAATAGATGTTTGTAAAAGATCTTTTCTAAACATTGTTGGGTGGACATGACACAACGGAGGGGGACAATGGGATAGGAGTGTGATGAATTGGGAAAATGAGCAGAGACAGAGATAGATCCACTGACAGAGGAAGTTAGAGAAGCAATAAAAGCTTAAAGAAAGAAGAAAGCTCCAGGAATGGATGAAATACCTTCAGAGGTATACAAAGTGGGTGGTGAACACTTGAAGAGAATGCAAACCTTGATTTCTCACATATGGAAGGAGGAACAAATTCCCAATGACTGGCGAAAAATAATCTGGTGTCCCGTTTATTAAAAAGGAGACGAGCTGCAATGTCAAAACTATGAGGTATCTCTTTGTTACGTACAGGACTTAGAATAAGTAGTCAATAAGAAACTTCTCCCCTTTGCAGATAAAATAATAGGTGAATATCAGTCAGGATTTTGATATGGCAAGTTCACAATTGACCAACTATTCACAGGGAAGCAAATACTAAGTAAAGCATGGGACTATATTATTGAAGTTCATAATGTATTTGTGGATTATAAGCAGGATATTAACAGGCACAAAACATATCATTTTTTAAATGAGCTTGGAATACCAGTTAAACTGGTAAGAATTCTTAAATCTACAATGGATAATATTGAAGCAGCAACAAAAATACAAGGACAAATAAGTGACTCCATAATTTCACAGGGACTCAAGAAAGGTGATGGGCTGACACTGACACTTTTTAATTGGGCTCTGGAATATGTAATAAGACAGACGGAAGTAGGGAGATCGAACATTCTGATAAACAAAACTATTCAACTAGCAGCTTATGCAGATCAGTAAGGGGCGCACGGGAAACATATTCACAACTAAAAGACAAGGCCAGGTGAATGGGACTCCAATAAGCAAACAGAAAACAAAATCTATGGAACAAACAAGGAAAAATATAACCTCAAAGGTAATCACAGAAGCAACTGAGAGATTGAATTGAATTGATGCCTTATTTTACGTGGCATGACTCAGGCCATCAGGCCTGCTCTTGCGTTTGACATTGCAAATTTTGCTATGCTCCTTTCACTAACTAGCGGAGAAAGGAGGTATTTCTTGAGCGACGAATAAGAGGACTTGCATTTAGCTCAGAGGCGTCATATAGGCTTGAGGATCTTTTACTGCAAGTAAATCTACTAGCATGGGACAGCCGACTTTACTTCCCTTCTGAAGGATGGCGTACAAAGGATTTTTTCACCCTTAAAAATCCATGGCTTCGATCGGGTTTGAACCCGCCAACTTGGGTATAAGAGTCTGATACAGACCTTTACACCTTTGCTGCCACTGCTAATTCACATATTTAAAAGTGCTGATGCAAAACTACGGGAATGAAGAGAAGGAGGCCAATCGAGCATATTTTACCCTGTCGCACAGATATATTTTGTATTGTCTTATTTGTTGGTCCAATACAAGATGTATATTTTAGGTAATTTTATCTATATATTGTTGAACTACAACAGATAAAACATTTTGTCAAAGCCTTTCTATTGATAATTTTACTAAAACTGTAAAAAAAATGTATAAATTAAATCTCAATGCATTAAAATAAGATTCATAGTGAAATGAGAAATGTGATTTTGCTATTCATAGTATTTCAAACAAATTTTTGGGAATGTGACACAGTTTTTCTATTTTATCTGAATATTGAAGGCCATTTCAAATGCTAAATGAAAAATTTTCTCTGTACTTTTTCAGGAAATCCCACCTAACAGTCTTCTTGAGTTTTATGTTCTGGCAGAATATTGCAATGGTATGTTGACTGCCTTTAATGAATTGCGTGTTTGTGCTCCTGTAGCTGTGTGCCAAATTGTGACAGAATCACTGAAGCTGTCGCTAAAAACAGTTGTAGAACGAACAGCACATTGGCATTGGCAGGAATCACAGGCTGATCTCAGCAATACAGAACGTGACGCTCTTCGACGATTTTGCTCTTTACTTGCTCTAGAACTTATTCCGTACATGCAGCGTTGCCTGCATCTTGTATTCCCAGTAGCTGATGTTGCATTGCGTCTGGCTGTTCCTGCTCACCAATTGCAGAAAGAGGTAGGGAAATTTTCAGTACTTTTTTTAGCTATCAGACAAAATTATTTTACTAGTGCCACCCGCATTTCTAATTATAAGTTTTGACAAGCATAATAAATCAATTTACTATATTTACCCAAATATAAGTCAACTCTGAGTAAAAGACTTTTCCCTAAATTTGAAAAGGAATTGCAAATTGTCCAATTGACTAGAAAATTGTCTTGTTAATGGGGATGTTAAAAATCAAGTATTGGCTGAGCTATTACTAATTTCGTGTTCCTTACAATCAGCGTAATCATGATTTTTGTCACTACCTTCTCCATACCATTATTATTTCTCTTTGGTCCTCCTTCAACGCCTTTTAATTTTTTAGTCCCCCCTGAATGTTTTAGGCTTCGAATTTGCGCTCATCTTTCCTCTGACGCCTCCTAAGAATATCCCTTCTGAATTGACAGTTTTCCTTCCTATTGCATTCTCGTTCATAGCCTCTAATTCTTTTACAATTCTTTCTTATTCTTTTATAGAATGTAATTGAAACTTGCATTGTTTATGTACTATAATGTTATATAATATTTGTGTGATTGAGTTGTGAACTGAAAATTGTGTTCATTTTGAAAATAACGCGTGAGAGAGCGGCGAACATTCAGTTTGTGCAGTGTTTGCTTAGAAAATATTATTTGATCATTCTATCTTTGTGGTTGCATGTAGATTACATCTTTCTATCAGTGTGATTTTTTTTCATATCCCCCTTTTGCAAAATGCAGATTCACACTCATTGGGTGTCAAACAGAGAGTTTGCCTGGCCTGGATAGTGTAACCAATTCCTGAAAACTATTTTTATTCATCACTTTATATACTACAATACCATCTGTTTGTAAGTCACTGAAATATTCAAAACCATTGGCTATTTGACCTTCTAGATCATGGTAATATAAATACTGCCCAATTTGTGGATGTATCTTTTCATCAGGTTCCTCCGTAGACACAATGAAAAACTTATCTTGTGTTGTATACGTTTGTAGGCTTCTGCTGCCAGAGTCAATGCATTCTTGGCTATCTGAGATGAGCTGCGTTGTTCTGACATTTCGGCCATTTTGCTGTGGCCTTCTTCAGGGCTTTACTGCTGCCAAATCTTGAGTTATACCTTCACCAAATTGACAGCTGGGCAGCCAAAAACAAAATTGAAATCAATCCGTCAAAAACTGCAGCCCAAATGTTTTCCTTAAGACTTTTTCACCTCTCCCACCTTGACATTGAGCCAAGAATCTGTAACATTGGTATCCTCACAACAAACTCATAAACTTAGGCCTTTACTGACAACCAACCAAATAATTTTTTTATCCAGCCACTTTTTCCAAAACACCTCAAATATACCCAGTCTATCCCCTCTAAGACTTTGCCACAAACCAATACACAAAACCCCCATCAAGAACAAATTCCTGTTTTTCACTTTCCTACAGAAATATTCAGATCTTGACCCAAAGTAGAGTTATCATGGTGCTATCACTACCACCATAATAGTAATTAAAATTGTAATTTAATTTTAAGTCAATTTAAGCAATTATAAAAAACAGTGTTTTATACTTTGATCTTGGTATTGTACAATCCAAAAGAAAATATACCAAAAAATCTTATTGTGGAAAGGCAGAGTAAAAGTATAAATCCTAAACAAATATACTTAAACTGGTGAAGTGACAATGTATTTTTTGAAAGCGGTATTATTTAGGAAACACAAACAAATCTTACATGCGGGTAAAAACAGGATCTCCTTTTTATAATCACATATCATTTTGTGACAATTAGGATTTCTGAATATCAACATACAAATTCATAATTTATTTTAATCTGTAAATGAGGTGTATCATATGTTTTGTTAAATTTAATAATGCCACTTTTGCAGGGAATAACATACTTGGACCAAGCGGATATCATCAAACCTCTTCAACATATCCTACCCATTTCATCACCAATTTTGGGCCTTGCAAATCTTGATACTGTGACTAGTGACAAGCCAACTGGAAACAATGAAATTTCAGATGGTACTGTAAATTCTTCTGTACCAATTGCCAATGTTCAAACAAGTTCAGCAGGTATGGAGCATGAAGATTCTATTTCTGAAGTCGCCACCAAGGAAATATCTGGGGAAGCTTCAGCAACTGGTAGTGAGCAAAAAGAGAATAAGGCATCTGAAACTGAGAAACCAGTAACAGGTGTAAACTCTGTTAACCTTTCAATTCAAATTTCAAATTTGAATTTACAAGAGGTAAAGGAACGCAAATCACAAAGTGAACATTCTGAGGAAAAGTGAATTGTGAGAAAACTATTTGCTCATGATAATTTATCTTCTGTTATCATTGTTAAGGGGTGTGTAGAAATAATTTAATAAGGAAGTATTTTTCACTATGTAAATAAGCTGATTTATATTGTATTGTGAATTTATTCTATTTTGTTGTTGCGAGCTTCAAGTACAAGTTCAAGTCATTACATGTTGAACAAAATGTGTTTTGTTTTTTACTTGTATAGTATTTGAAAAGAATTGTAATTGTGTGAAAAATGATAAAAAATATTCTCAAAAAAGTTCCAAAATTTTCCATTAAAGTTATTTTTCTCAAGAACAGTGAACAGTGAAATTTTCTTTTAGATTATTACCTCTTTTTAAACTGGATATATCTTCCCTGACTTAAAGAATGTTAGAAAACTGGAACTTTGATAAGACAGGCTATCTGATTAATTTTTTAATGACTCATATTTCCATACACATTCATATTCAAAGTCTTTTAAAAATAAAAAAGGAGTAAAGAAAATAACCTCCTATATTTATGTATTTAAGGAATACTAGGGATGGAAAGATTAATTTGACCAACTATATCATCTTTAAAATGTGTTATACTGTCCAAATTTAAATTGTGATTTAAATTTTTCAATTATAGGAATGTTCAACAGTGTCCAATGTATGAAAAAAATATTAGAATTTCATGAATGTTAGAAGTTTCTGTAAATAATGTTGCCATAGCAAAAAATGTTGGAAGTAGTTCAGATGCGCAGCTATTATTTTTAAAATTTTATTTTGATTTATTTCTTTTAATTTATTATTTAAAACATTCATTGGTAATTCACAATCTTTGTTTTATGATGAGATGATTATCATTTTTGCTGGTTGAAAAGTGTATTTATCAATGAAAGATTTGAACATCTTTTAAAGTTTTAGGAATGTAATTGGTTAGAGAAATCTATCACTACTTGGGATTAGTGATTTTTATATCACATTAAATTCCAATTGATAGAAGTTAAATTGATTTTCTTCATTGAATTTAATCTTCAGATTATCGGTCAGTTGCAAAGAAATTGCAAAATGCAGTTACGAAAAGCAAGATGGTATTGTCATCTTCATCTTCATCTTCTTCTTCATCATCTTTTTCTTCATCTTCTTCTTCATCATCTTCATCTTCTTCTTCATCATCTTCATCTTCTTCTTCATCATCTTCATCTTCTTCTTCTTCATCTTCTTCTTCATCTTCTTCTTCATCTTCTTCTTCATCTTCTTCTTCATCTTCTTCATCTTCTTCTTCATCTTCTTCTTCATCTTCTTCTTTTTCCTTCTCTCCTTTTTTCTTTCTTTTCTTTTCTCTCCTTTTTTCTTTTTTCCTCTTTTTTCTTCTCTTTTTCTTCTTTTACATTTCTTCTTCTTTTCTTCCTTCATTTTTTCTTTTCCTTTTCTTATCATTTTTTCTCTTATGTTTTTTCCCTTTTTCTTCTTCAATTCCTTCTATTAGTTCTCAAAATTACCTTTACAATTACAGGTTTCAAAGAAAGATACCTATAGATATACCACTCTTTTGAATCCATTGTTGTATTTAGAGATTTAAACATTGATTTTGTGGTTGATTCTTTCAGTTTAGTTATTACAATAAACGTTCCCAGATGGACCTCACTTCATTCAAAGAAAGCAATCAATAAAATAATTTTTAAAGAAACAAACAAAACAATGTTATCTATGAAATTGGAAGGAAAGGTTTAGAATACAATGACATCAATACAAAAACTCGTAGAATCACAAGAAATGCAAACACTGACCCACTAGATAATACATGTTTGTGTAGGTTGTTTGCAAAAAGGAAGTTAAATTATTCATAGAGTGCTTTCTGCATGAATCATGGGATGCAGTTTACAATACTGTTGATGGAAACCACTATACTTTAATTTCACTTTAATACGTGCTTTCCTCATATGAAAAGAAAAATAACTTTTAATGGAAAGCAAAACTGGATAACACTTGGATTAGAATATCTTGTGAAACCAAATGAATTCTTTATTTCATTTCTAAGCATCATAATCTATCTCGTGATTTTCGCTTCTACTTCTAAAAATACAGATCATTGTCAAGAAATGTTATGAAGCATAAAACATGATCAAGATATTTTAAAGTCAAATAATAAAACAAAAAAATGCATTATGTAGGACACCAACTAGAAACATTGTGGATAATGTTTTTGAAAGAATGATTGAGATGTGACTGATTCTACAGCTCTTCAGTCAATAGTTTTCAAGAATTGCTGCTGATCATACTAGAGGTCTTAAGCCACAAAACTCAACATCAGATGTTTCCTCAAAAAAGTTTGACTTGATATTCGTTTTTGAAACATCTTCCTATGAAAATTTCAATATAATCAGTAAAATAAAACAAATATTCGTCAGTGTAGATAAATTTGAGAATTATTTGTTAGTCTTGTGGGCCTGGCATACATCTGTGAACTCAAATTTAATGCATGGGAACATTTCCATAAATTTTCAAAACGGCGAGTGTTAAGACACCCTTAAAAAAGGAAACAAAAATGAAATTCAAAATTATCGGCCAATTTTTCGTTTCAGTTTTTCAAAAATATTTGTATGTGGGGATCAGCTGATTGTAGAACAAAAATCGATTCAATATCTGTGCGGATGCCACGATGAGTGATAGTGACGTCAAATTTCTCCTCCGGCGTCATCGTGACGTGTGCTCTGGAGAAGGCCTGAGAGTACTTCGAAAGTGGAGGGAGGAAAGGGCTACTTGATAGAAATCTTTGTTATGCAGTAAGGGGACAAATTAACAGCTCTTATTACTAATAGAAATTTTGGTCGCTTCGTCCCTGATCGGACTCAGAACCAGAATGGAATGTTGTATGCTGAAGTGCAGAGATCAGAACAAGTGCAGAAAACAATGACCGAGCGAGCGTTTTCAGAACTGCCTCGTAGGTTCCGCGGGTCACGTGGGCCTCTCCCTCATTTCCCGCGATTGGCGGGCGCAGGTCAGGCGGTTTCTCCCGCCCTATCGCGTCGTCGACGGACGACCGCGTCTTGCCAAATTCTGCGAAACTCAAACGTCATTCAAGTTCCGAGAAAAGGCGCGGCAGCGATGCGTCGCTCAAAGGTAACAGCACTCGTGTTTTCCTGTGAGTCATCGGATGCGGCCTGGCGTGGGTTGCGCCGAGACAAAAGGGCTGGATTTCACAGCGTCCGCGTGCTACCGTCCCATTACAAATATATATACATACATATATACGCACACATATACATACACACACATACATACACGCACACCATTATTATCATGGTCATATGAGGACGTGCGACTCTACAGAGCCGCGATTCCTATTGTTCCTGTTATTAAAAATCTGATGGCAGCTTCTACAAATTATCAGCCTTTTTACATTGTTTATATAAAGTTATCATTTATTCTGGAGATATACATTTTTTGTCTTTGAGTTTATTAATGACTTGGCTTACCTTTACTTTGTTCATTCACAAAGTCCATATGGTATTTCTTTCGCATTAAGGTTCTCATCAGCGGAAATATCTTCTACGCCGATCTTCAAGATACCTTCCGTCCGAATGCCGTCCGTGAGATCCTTTCGGTGCTGCTGCTATCGTAAATTCTGGCAGCGGAAGAATTTTTATAATGTTCCTCGAAAATCCTCACTGTTTGATAATATCCTATAATCTGGTCTATTCAATTAATGCAGTCCGCGAACGCGACTTTTCTTACCCGATGCGCTTACTTGCGACTGCCTGTCATTTAACTGTAAACAATTTATAATGTCCAGTTACAAATCTTATTCTACACTAATTCCCAGCTTACGAAGTCTTATTTTACATAAAATCACAATTACAACACAAGCTAAAACTCACCCTCAAATTACGAATTATATAATACACTTAAAACAAATCACTCAAAGTAAGTTTCCTGTGTTCTAACATCTATTTTTACGATACAATGCAATTATTCACGAGCCAAAGTTTTCACTGCAACAAAACGGCCCTTTATAAAAGAAGAAATTTAAGAAAAGAAATAATATTAAGCCAACACCACCCATGCCATATATAGTCTAAAACTATTAATTACTTTGTTCTAAATGTGGAACATTATCCAAAATAAATACAAAATTTGCCCATAGTATTTTCATAAGGTAATATTATGTAACCACTGCTCCTCATGTTTTGGTAGCAGTGAGTCGAAATGCTATGCACCAATGCATAGAAAACAAGGAAACAATAGCTGCATTTCCGTACTTAAGTTAGTAAGATTTCAACTTGCTCTGGTGATAAATCGCAGTGATTTTTAAAATTATTTCCACATCCACATATTTCAAAAGTTGTAATATCAATAATAATAATAATAATAATAATAATAATAATACATTTATCATTGATTTGTCATTACTTCTAAAATTAATAAAATCTTCAACTCTTTACAAAACATTGTTTAGTGCATGAATGCTGTGGACACTATTAGGAATTCTAAAACCATTGAAATAATCTACTTTAACATCCTTTATATGTACATATAAATTTAATGTATTGCTGACCTGAAATGAACAAATTATTTTTGGAGAAGGGCAAAAGTTCACATTCAAAAATGCAAAGCAGTTCTCTTTCTAAATTGTATTTCCAAATTTGCTCAGTGTCACTAAATTTAACTTTTGCCGTCTATTCCTCAAAAGTATCAAATTACCTTCAGGTTACATAAGAGTTATTCTGCAACACTTTCCATAAGAGCAAGGTGTAACTGTTGGAACCGCCTCTTCCTGTTCTTTTCCTCAGGACGATTTTCTCGCGTTGTCTCCTTAGAGAGATACAGTGGACAATTTCAAAGAATGCTAGGGTCAGCTTGTCAGCTTCTGGTGCAAGGCGAGGTTTCTCTGGCCGGAGAGGTACTTCTTGCTCATCTTAGGAATAAAATACTTTCCTTCATTACATCTGATGCAATGCAATTCACTCACCTGCAAAATAGAGATAATCAATAGTTAGCCTAAACTCATGTTTAATATCAAATTTTTAACTAAAATTTTTCAATTATAGTTAATGGGAATTGGAATTTTCAATAATTAAAATTATGCATTGAAATATTACTTGTAACATTTTCATGCAATTCACAAAATTTTCCGTTTTTACTTTACCAGTATAGATAATTACTACAAACTATTTACATTATTTATATAGAAAAGGCGTCTGACTTCTGATACCAATTGATAATATTGATGGCTTAAATATTTCTTGATTTAATGTATTTAATTCAATTTCGAATTATATTAAGCCATATAAACCATAAAGCCTGACGTTTGTACCAAGGTTAAGAGCATTT